GATGCGCCTCTTCGAGGCTCGGATGGCGGCGATGTCTTGCTGCGCCTCGGCCAAGGCATCCGGCACGAAGGGCCCGGCTCCCATGAGCTGCGCTCGTTGGATACCTTTCCGAAGCACATGTTGCACCACGAAACGGCTGGCCTCGAAGATCTCGGAGTTTGGGTCTCGGACCGGGCCTTCTTCCATCACTTCCAAGCGCTGGGCTGCGAGAGTGTACAGGTTCCGCATGAACTCCCAGGGCACTTTCTCACGGGGGGTGGTTAGCCTGCGGTCCTTTTCTGTGATCTTGTCGGAAATTCTGGCAATTGCTGGTGCCGGTGTCTTGCCACCTTGCGCCAAAATCTTCTGCCGAGCCTCTTCGAATTCATCTCGGGTGATGATCCCATCACCGTTGAGGTCAAAGTGCTCGAAGCAGAAGGCCTCCAGAGAAAGCTCCAATGGCCGAGGTGGCTCCGGAAGCTTCGCAAGCGCCTTCTCAACGATGCCATCAATCTTGCTTTCTAGCTTTTGCCACACTCTCTTCTCCAATTCCACACCGAGTCGGCTGATTACCTGGATGGCAGGCAAACAGTTGCAGAAAAAACTCACCGACCTGCATTGTGAAAGCTAGGAGTCCAAAAAAATCGTAAGCGACATCGCGGTACATCCGACAACGACCAAGGCACCGCACCGCTGTCGGTCTTCGGCCTCTTCGTCGCCTGTACCTCTTCCATGAAGTTGCCGATGGACTCCTTCAGCTGCAAGACGGAGTTGCATACAGCGTCGACCTCTTCCCGCATGTTCTGCTTCACCTCAGCCCGTCGGCATCGCAGAAACTGCCATAGCTACTGCATGTTACTGCAGAGCTTCATCGAACACTCTGCTGAGGCTTTGGCCTCCCAACTGAGGATTCGCCTGGCTGCGGAAATCTCCTCAACAGGGAAGCTTAAGACATATGTATACCTGTTGGGTTCACAAAGGCTTCAGAAGCGGCTGACTCGCTGGACACCTGTGATGATTGTGAAATCCCCGACTCCTACACTTCTGAAAGTGTTTCCGCAACCTCTGCACGAGAATCGGCGTCAAGTCAAGTCCAGCTTCCGGCTAGCTTTTCAATCCCACGAAATGGACCTGAAGGCAGACCTGACATGAACGGCGTGACCGAACTCCAAGCATTCAAGCCCAAGGCTCCTCCGGAGCAAGGCACAAGTTGGCAGCTCTTGGAATGAGGGATCGAATAGCGTCCACGTCATGGTCTTCCATCGCCTGCGCTAGCTCGAGCTGGACGCTGGCCTGTCGGACCGACACGCCCAAACGAAGTGCTGCAACTTTGAGGAGAGGCTGACTCGGTGTCTGAGGTCGGTGCTTGGAAGGATGACCTACTTGCCTCTTCGGGGTGAGAGTGCTGAGAGCCCCTTTAGCCTTCTCCCTTGTCCCAGCATGTGCGGGCAGGTGGAAATGCCCTTTGGGGGAATGGCAAAGTCAAACATTCACATCGTCAGGCTTTCTTTGCATCGGCTGCTGCCTTCTCCACTTCCCGCGTCTTGTCTCCTTCCTCCATTTTGCTGATGCGTCTTGGAGGCGGGGTGGCACCAGACTGCGGAATTGCTAACCTTAGCAGCCAAGCAAGCACGGAGTTGCGAGGAGGATCGCTGAAGCAGCTGCCTCTCAAGATGCTTGGCGCGGAAACGTGGCAGAACAGACGAAGCTATTTGGCAGAAGGCAGTCTTCAGAGACAGCCCGTTCTGTCAATGTTTACAGTACAAGGTCTTAAACATGCTAGAAGTATCCAGAGTCATACATGGATGTCATATATTTCTCTATATACATGCCTTTGCAACAGTGCTTCTGTCCTTTTGTGTACGAAGCGACCGACGGGTCTTACAATCGTGAAGGTCCGTTTGCATTTGCATGTTGCCAGTGCACATGCACATGCATGTACATTGTTGTGCAACTGCAGGTATACGTGTTGTGTGTAGCAAAGAGCACATGCATGGAAACACAGCGTGACCCAACGCATACAGACACGGGCATGTGCACATGTGCATATTCGTGTTGGTAAAGAGGTAGCTAAGTCAATCAGTCAGTCAGCCGGTCAGTCAGTCAGTCAGTCAGTCAGGCAGTCAGCCAGTCAGTCACTCGGCATGTGTAACTGCGTTTTCGTCAAGCATCAGCAAGCAACCAAAAACAAGCACATAGAAAAGCAAGTACTTAAGTGCGCAAGCAGATAAGTAAGCAAGTGAATGAGTGAGTGGGTGAGGGAGTGAGCGAGTGATGGAGTGAGTAAGTAATCAAGTAGGTAGGTAAGTCATGGTAAGTCGGTAAGCAGGTCAGTAAGTAGGTTGGCAAGTAAGTAAGTTAATAAGATGAAGGAAAGTATGAGTGAGTGGGTGCATGCGTGAGTGAGACCAAGTAAATGAGGAATTAAGCGTGGATAAATATGCGAGTATGCAAAAAAGTCAAGGTCAATCAGTAAGTATGTGTAAGTAGGTATGCCTAGATACACGTAATTCGCGCAAGTAAGCAAGCCAGCACGACCGTATGCAAGTGAGTAGAAGGTGACCAAGTAAGTAAGTATAGGCAAGCAAGAAAGCAAACAAGCAAGCAAACAAACCAAAGCAAGCAAACAAACAAGACCCAGCCAGCCAGCCAGCCGGCCGGCCAGCTAGCCAGCCAGAGAGCCAGCAAGCAAGCAAGCAAGCAAGCAGCAATCAAGCAAGCAAGAAGCAAGCGAGCAAGCTGGCTAAAACATAAGTAGACAAAAATACATGTGTAAGGAAACGCGTGTAACTAAGCAAGTACAAACGATCGGGATAACCAGGTGTAACGACGTAAGTATAATGAATTAAGCGTTTAACAGGTCGGTAAGGCACACATATGCACACGTGTAAGAGTGTGTACGCGGGCATGTATGCAAATATCTATGTGTGTGTGTGCTGTATGTCTGCGCAGCATGCCATCATGCGAATTGCTACCAGGAAATCCGTGTGATTACATGTCAACACCTGCACCCACTCATAGACGAAACGAGCCAGGCACACTGATTAAGAACATGCTTCTGCTCGGAAAATCCGAGCAACAAGGCCGGCTGGACAGGCGCCTTTGGGACGGATGCTGCCGGCGGCTGTGGATCTTTTTGGGGAGGAGGCTCTGGTGCCTGAGGCGTCTGCAAACTGATCTCCGGCACCGGTTGCGAGATCTTGGTGACTGCCGTTGGCCTGACAAAGAGGCCATGTTCTGGCTTGCAGTCGAAGTAGGTCTTGCCCTTGACACTACCATTGTTCTTGCCCTGCTTTTCGTCCAGTTCAATGCCCATCCACTCGCCAGCTGCAAACTCTGTGGTGCCGATGAACTTCACAGTGCCGCATAGCTGTGTTTGAGCGACTGTCACCCGGTCGCCGAGGCGGAATTGCCGAGCCATGGCTGGCTTGCGGTAACTCGCTAGAAGCCCCAATGATGTCAACTCTGCTTCACAGCGTTTATCCTGACTGGGAGTGGAGCTAATGTACATGTACATGTATGCATGAAGTGACCTGCCTATGGCAGGGCCGATGCTGCAAACCGCGGCGCAGCAGCAGTCCAAAGCTTTCAAGTCAAGGTTCCTCTCCGGCTGACATCGCTTGGACACGGAGTCGCAAGTCCCTATCCTGAATGGATCCCGCCCTAGACCCTAGACCATTTTTTAAGCCCTTTTGCATCCAGGACTCTCGCAACCAGCCGGGAAACTCCGCAAGACTTTAAGCCCTGAACCCCGAAACCCTAAACCACCAAACCCTATACCACCAAAACCTAAACCCAAACCCCTACAAAGCCCTCCTCTGAGCCCCTGCAAATTCAGCTTGGTGGCGAAGCTGAGGCCCTGTGATCTTCCTCGAGGCCGAGATCTCTTCAGGTTGCCATAACGTATGTGTGCATATAGGTAGATAGATAGATAGATAGGTAGGTAGATATATCGGATAGATTGATAGATATAGGGATAATTAGGTACAGATATTGTTATCGATATTACAAGGTTTCTAGAGCCCTAAGGGATTAAGGCTTGGACTTCAAGGGGTTAAGGCTTGGAGTTTCAGGCTTAGGCTGGGCTTAGGATTCGTCGGATTAGGGGTTTGGACTCGCACGGTGGCACGGGCAGGCAAATCTGCAAAAAAAACTTCCAGCGGGCGTTTGTTCAGGCTCTGGGGTTAGGGCTTTAGGGCTTGGGGCTTCAGGGGGCTAAGGTTCAGGGTCTAGGTTCAAAGCTGACAGATAGTTAACAGTTTCGATATGTTTCGATCCTCCCGCCCGACACAGGCAAGCAAGGGATTGCGGTAAAGATGCCTGTGTATGCGTGTGTTGATGACGACAGTGACAAGTCCCCATCTCGTTGCAATGTTTCTCATCAGAACGACTGACATCATGATCGTAACCCGTGTTGGTTTTGCCAGATTATTCGGGCAAAACCCGTAGTTAGTGCAACTCAGAAGAAGCAGAATGGTATGCTCGCCAACCTTGCTATGTGTTGGTTTGGTCTTGGTTGAATTTTGCAGACAATACCATTGTTGATAGATGTGCTCTGGTTTCTTTATAAAGTAACTTGATATGACGTACGCAGTGTGGCTGCGGCTAAAAACTTGTGCTGATGCTCGGAGGCACATCTAACCGCATGAACTGGAGACCTCAGCAACTGTGAATCATGTGTAACCTCATCCGAATGCACAGTCACCTACATATCCCACGCGTAGACACAGACATCAGCGGCGCCTGTGTGTGTGTGTGTGCATCTGGCCAAGCATCGTAACCTCTCCGGGCCGTAGGGGACCCTTCGCCGCCACAGAAGCCTCCTCATGAGCCGAGCTGCCTAGCATACTCTACTTAATACTCAAACTGCATACCCAAAATGCTAGAAACATACACTTACAGTTGCATTGACCACAGACCGCAGACATACTTTCTTACGCTTAGCAGCTGGCACCTCGGGGAACGACGCGCTTGATGTGCAACAAGGGCTTTTCGGGTTTGATGATGCAAGCACGATTAACCTTCATTCTTTCATATAATTCTAAATAAGAAATAAATAACACACAGACATAAATGAATAAAAACATATATATATATATATATCAGAGATGGCCAAGGTGGACCATGGTTCGCCTTTCGTTGTTGGCGCTTCGGCCGAAGTTTAACAGTCGAGGGTCTTCGAAATTACGCTGACTCGAGTCCTGTCAAGGCTTCAGCGAAGCGGGCAAGAGAATCATGAACAACAAACTCAGTTTAGGCTCCACGGTTTATATGCGACTGCGCAGGTCTTCCAAAAACACAAGCTAGAAACTTCTGGTCCTATTCCCTGCGCTGTAGGGTTTGCAACAACTAAACTGTCAATTCCAACCGGAAGATATGAAAGTCACTGCACTGAAGCTCACACAGCCAGAAAACCTGCCCAGTCTAAACTAGCACACTGGGGCAGCGTCCATCTCGGGAGTCCAAGCCTAAGTCCCATAATTCCGAAACCCTTCGATTTTAACCTCGGCCCACGAACCCTGCTGTGCGTGGGCATATCTGAATCCTGAACCCCTTCGGGTCAGGCCTGAGAGTTTAAGGGGTCTGGGGTTTGGCGGGTTTGTGGCTCAAGATTTAGGGTTTCAGCACTCACAACTAGGACAAGCCAGGCGAGGAAGGGTTTAGGGTTAAGCGCCGCAGCCACCCTCCATTACTGCAGTCCTCCGCGAGCACTTTAGCCAGTCTCTCTACGAGGTCTTCCTGTCCGGCATTGGCTGCTTTCTGGCTTCGGGCTTCACCGCACAAGTTTAAGATATTGCTGTACTAAGGCTACTGCTGTTGCTGTTTGAAAGGCCTGAAGGGTCGAAGGGTCTTAACATGTATAAAGGCTTGTAGACACTCTGGGGGCAGGGTTCTGGCCGGTTGCTGCTGGTTGCTGTTGTCAAAATGCAGAAGGAAAAATACCTGTGAAAGACAACGACGCGGGGAGTTGCTTGCAAGAGGCCAGTGTCGCGCCCGGTGTCATTGTCTTGAGTGCTGGCCATTCTCATCCGTCAAGTAGAAGGTCGTGTGTCAAGCTAGTATACCATTCATTCACGGCAGGACTTTCGAGTGTCTACGTCTTACGTTTCGGTCAGCTATGCCAACGGCGAGAAATTCAGTGACATAGAGCACAACCGAAGATACAGCAAAAGCATCATGTCGCACTTCGGCAGACACCGGGTATCATAAGGCCTTGTCCAAGGCATCGGCCCACTTGATATTTCGTGTTCCCAGCTCCTCAGGCTCATGAGGTCCCAGCTTCGAAAAAACCGAACTTCCGTATCTCTGCATCTTGCTAAATTGAGATTTGTGTGGGTGTCATCTTGTGCAAACTCCGTCTCCGAACTGTCTCGGATTCCTTTCCGGCGCCCGAAGGCCTTTCAGCCACACCTTGTGCAAGCCACGACATCTACGTCCCACCCTGTCATGTCTCTGCCAAGTGCAAGCCCATGGGCCGTGCGGAGCGCTTTCACGGTCATGGCGCGGCACTGCGCCATGAAGTCCTCCGGTGACTTCTCCTCTTCCGTGCTTTCCTGTGTTGGGGGGGGGGGGGTTGCAACGTATGGGCTTGACTCCCATGCTACGCTGAACTACGTACCGTGTCCCGACCTGCGTTGCCATGCTCTGATGGTTAACGTAGTATACCAGTAGAACGTACATTTCGCCCCCCACACTAGAACTACTGGATCAACCGTCGCTGATCCAGGGCTGCCACGTCCCTGAGCTCCCGAATTCCATGCCCTGGGGCATCCAATTTCAGGTCTTGAGTACAGTGCTGTAGTTCTTGTTGCACCTCCCCTTCACGGCAAACCCACACCCCTAAGAAACCTGAAACCAGAAATTGCCCAACACCCCCGACAACCCTAAACTCAGTACACCCTACCTATACTCTCCATTTTGGTTAAACAAAAAGAGAAACTACAATGGAGACTATGGGTAAATCTAAATCTTCGCTGACCGCCTCCGCCACGCCAGCTTCGGAGTTGGCGGGTGAGGGGGTTGGAGCACCTCGGCACAGCATCGATCAACTCTTGTGGGGCCTATTGAAGAGCCTCCTGATACTGACAGCAATGATGATAATCATCATCATCGAAATCTGTTCTTCCTGTGATTAAACCGATCCTAAGCTTGCACATAGTGGCTTGAGGCTGAGTGTTGGTGCATGTCAAACGAATTATTATAGATGTATACTTCTGTATCGACTCTCGCTCTCTGTCTCAGAGTCTCTAAGGAGTAGCACAGCATCCGAATCCCCACGATTGCAAGAGCGGAGGTGTACTAGCAGTTGGAATGTCAAGAAGCTACATATGGAACCCTTTTATTCAACGTTTCTGCCCGAGACTTTGCTAATATTTAGAGGGGGCGTGAACAACAGGATGGAGCGATCAACATGAGTAGCACTTATCATGATTAAACATTGGGGTCGTAGTATCCCAGAAATCTGCCGGCCAGGCGTCCATCACTGGTGCCACTTTGAAGCTCGAAGAGGCCTAAGGTGACTCTGCAGGGTGCGGGAACCCACGGCTACCACAAGGACGTGAGAATGCCCACGAAAGCAGCAGAACCGTAGCCGCAATCTTATAGCTCCAGCAAACGGAATTGTAGTCAGAAAGCGGTTGGCGAGGTCCTCCTTGTCGAAAAGGTCCGAAGTGTCCACGCCACTGTCCGACAGCTCAGCCTTGATCTCTCTTGCTCGCATTCCTGCCGCAACATTTAACTGCCCCCTGGCCTCTGGCCTTGTTGATCACTGCCGCCATGTACAACCATATCACTAGTTACGTTATGAGTAATACATGTGGGTTCTCGGGCTACGATTACTCAACTCATTATCCTTGAGTTCCTGCATGCTGGGACATGCAATTTGCACGTTTGGCCAGGTGATTTCCTTGACAAGCCAGCATCCAGCGTGGCCCTGCAATCCTGTGCTTCTCATCGCGAACTTTCCATCCCAGTCGCTTCATGTCCAATCGCTGAGCCTAACCCGCAACCTTGAACCGTGACCTGTAGGCCAAGCCGCTCCCAACACTCAACGAACTTTGCTGCTGTTTGTCCTGAAACCCTGGCCATGCCCAATGTCCTGCGATCTTCGCCCGAAGCTCGTCGTCAGCAGTTGCCGATCGGCTTGAAATCAAAGCCCTCCCCAAAAACAAGGGAGGGGAACTTCCGCACCACTGTCTCATTGCTGATCCCGGAATATCATAAAGGGTCACCGGCTACCAGCTGGCTTACATTTGACGGCTTTCTGTTTGTTGATTCTTCTGATACGATTGACTAATTCAGGCCTCTGACTGACTTAGTGTCGCTAATGCTCGTGTTCTTAAGAGTGGCCACCGATTCTCACCGATTCTTCGGTTTTCCTTGCTGTCAACACTGCCACCCTGAAGCCAGAAGGAGAAGGCT